CTTCTCCGTCGCATCTCTCTGCTTCATGCATGAGCAGCTGGTATGCGTCGATGTGCAGATTATCCTGGTGTTCATCGTCTAATGCTCTGTTGTGAGTTACTGTCTATTTCCCCCAAGGACATGCTGAGTTTAGTCAGCGCTCGCCTTACCTTATCTTTATCTTTTAAATCTATGTCACATTCTCTCTGTCTCAATTCGACTTCTAGCTCTCTAGATAAGTACGGCACTAGTACATAAACATAACGCATTTTCGATTATCGAACTGTACAGCCCAAACAGGCTTTACTACGTGGCTGGGCTTCTTGATCCTCTCCTTGCTTCCTGTGGCTATTTTTATCGGGCGGTGGAAAGTGGGACGGTTTAACCCCATGAGAGTATATTGATAGATTTTGCCTGGTTTTTTGGTTTCGAAGGTTCCGGCGCGGAGGCAGATGAACTCCCCCCGCGTCCTTTCCGGGTTTTTTGAACGTACACCAATGGCCAGGAGTCTGGCGGTCCGTGGGCGGAGTGCCGGGGGCGGGGGGGGGGGGGATGTGGGAGGGAGCCGAGTTAACAGCAGGAGCTTCCTAGTCTGAGCTCACTCGGGGAGCGGGGCTGCTTAGTCCTGCTGCCCCCAGCGATTCTAGAAAAGAACCCGTGGCTGACTGCCTACTATTTCAATAGGAGGTGTGGCCCAGGGATCTGCTCTCTGCCTTGACAGCCAAGGACTCCAGGTGATCAACGCATTAAAAATCTAGGCCCAGATGAAGAAAGCCCAGCATTCTTATTTCCAGAGCTCCAGGCTCAGCAGGAAAGATATTGAGACCTCGTACCATTAAAAGAATCTCAGGTAGTGAGAATGAGCCCATTTGGGAAACATGGCGGGGGGGGGGGAAGGGGGGGTGCAGAGGGGCTGTTTATCTCCGTGCCCTGAAAGCCCACTGCACGAAAGGACTTTTTGAAGGGAGAAAAAAAGCAGTTTGCCAAAGATGAACGGATTCCATCCCAGGGAGGGGTTTGATACCAAGGACAGTGACCTACCTTCTGCATTTGGGAGCCCAATGTTTGGCTAGCAAGAAAGATCTCTCTGGAAGCAGAAGCAGGGTGCCTGGATTTTTATCCCACGACCTATTTATTTATGAATGAATTATGCAAATATTAAGGGCGTGCCTGATATGTGTCAAGCCCTGTAGCAAGATGCTGGAGTTTTATAATTGAAAATCCATAATCCTTGTTTTCAAAAAGCCTAAAGACCATATTCTCTTCATTTGCTTTAAGAGCTAAAGCCAGTAAAATTACACTTAATTTTTCCCCTTTTCAGTCTGTAGCTCGCCTTCAAGCCCTCTCAAAAACATTTAGTCTATTATCTGCTGCAAGTACTTTTACTTTAAAAAAAATACAAAAATAAACAAAAACCATTCATGATAGTATTTGTTTAAGTGAAAATAATTGCATGCATTGTTTTCTATGTACTACATATTGCCAAATCCTTTACATGAATTACCTTATTTAATCATCAGAACATCCATATAAGAGAAATATTATTACTTCCATTTTACAGGTGATAAAACAGAGGCCCAGAAAAGCTATTTGCGGTCTCAGGGCTACTAATTAGTAGTGTAGAAACCACAACCAGGCATCCCAAACTCAGAGGCCATGCTATACCATCTCCCCTCATGCTCTGTGGAATTCATAGTATCATCTTGGAGGGGTCCTTTTGTGCTTAGTTAGAACCAAAATCCACACATGTCGCAGCTAGACATCAGTTAAAGACAGGATGAAATGTAACAGTACAATATGCAACTTATAATTTAACTACAGTAGAAATGGGAGAAAGAAAAGATCACTGGGAATTAGGGGTAATCAACGGCATTTCTGATGAAAATCTGAGTGTCTGCTAAGTGCCAATTCTCTCCTTGAAATACAGCACTGAACACAACAGTCCCTCCATGTTGACTTTCTATGTTAGCATGTTCTAGAACAGTGGTTCTCAACCTTGGCTGCACATTAGAATCACCTGGGAATCTTTTTAAAATCCTGATTTCTGGGCCTCATCCTCCAGAACTTCTGTTTCTTTGTTACTAATGTTGTGGCCCCACCACATAACAAAGAAACAGAATTTCCGGAGAATGAGGCCCAGAAATCAGGATTTAAAAAAGATTCCCAGGTGATTCTAACGTGCAGCCAAGGTTGAGAACCACTGTTCTAGAACCTCATGCTATACCTTCCTTCTTTTCATTACAGTTCATCTCTCTCTCTCAAATATCCAGCTTCCTTCTGAACTCAAGATTTTAAAAATGGGACACTTATTTACAACAGATAAATTGCAGGCACTCTGTAAATGATTGCTGAAAAAAATAAATAGGTTTACTTGCTTATTTAAATAACTCCAATCTTTTGGGTATGTGGTACATGTCACATAGTATATTTCAAGTGCACATTAATATAATTTCAGACCAGATTTACTCTAACTCCCTTAATTTTCAGGTGAGAAGATGGAGGATTAAGGTGAGTTTAAGTGATATGTCCAAGTTCAAATACAGACAGAAGTAGAGGCAGTGGCAGAATTTGACTGCAGCCTTCCTAATTATTAATTTTAAAATCTTCGCTGGTTCCCAAACTGGCCCCTGTACATGGAGAGCAAGAAGACATCTAGAAAAGAGGAAGACTGCTCTAGAGTGGTAGATGGTGCTTTTAATAAGCAAGGGAACTTGCATATGAACTTGGGTGGTCACAAGACAAGTAGATCTCCGCATCTGACTGCCAAATCCTAAAATGAAATTACTGAGTTCAGTAATATATATAAAACCTAGAATTCAGTGGTTCTCAACCTTCTGGCCCTTTAAATACAGTTCCTCAGGTTGTGACCCAACCATAAAATTATTTTCGTTGCTACTTCATAACTGTAATGTTGCTACTGTTATGAATCGTAATGTAAATGTCTGATATGCAGGATGGTCTTAGGCGACCCCTGTGAAAGGGTCGTTCGACCGCCAAAAGGGTTGCGACTCTCAGGTTGAGAACCCCTGATCTAGATGGTCTCAACAACACCTTCCTCTCTCAAGGCTATGTCCTTACAATGAATCCTAGGTGGAGGATGGTGGGCAAAACCTACATTCCAAGGAGGTGGAGGGATTGAGGAAACTGACTTCCCAGGTTCTGTTCCTGGGGCAACCAGCTGTTTCATCCTCTTGATGACCTACCTCCTCCAACACCCTTCCATCTCTGTCATTCTTTTTGTTGTTGTTACCGAATAACACATTGCAGCAGGTAAACACGGAAAATATGTTATCTAAATCCATACAAATTAGTGGAAGATGTTTTCCCAGATTTTTTTGCTTTCTATCCAATTCACTTTCATCTTAATCCTACTATTTGTGTGTGTGCCATTTGTGTGTGTGTGTGTGAGTGTGAGAGAGTATTTATGGTTTTGTGATGTAGATTTCTTCTACATTAAACTTTTCTCAGAGAAGTTTTGTATGAGCAAGAATCCTCTTCTTACACCAGCTGCAGTACCTTCAGGTAGCAGTTATAGATCAATATAGTGGATTTTAGCTCCATAATGGTTCTCTGGTTTAAAGAAAGGCTTTAATTAGGACAACAGCCTGCTCCCATCTCAGCCTGTATAATTTCAGAGTTAGCAACTAATGCATTAGGTTTTTAAATTATTTGCCAGGAATTTTTTTCACATTACCTCCCCAATGATTAGCGTTA